CTTGCGGGGCAGCGGCGCGATGCACCCTGGGCTCTGTAGGCCCGCGCGGCGCGTTGCATGTTGGGCTTTCCGGGCTCTGCTAGGAGCGCGGCATGCTGGGAGTTGCAGTCCAGGTGGGAGGGCTAGGCCCAGGCCCCGAGCTGGCCTACAACTGAGGAGCGGCCGGGAGGGGAAGCCTCGTTAGTACACCGCATCTGCATCGGGCAGGGCAGGCTCCAGGGGACGGGGAAGATTTGCACCTTCCAGACCAGGGCTTCTCAACCAGGCAGCCTCCAGGTCCTTTTGAGGGTGCCAAAGGTTAGCACTAGCGGGTTAACAAACATAGGTCACAAGATAAAACCCAGCGCTTTTACAGAGAAATCCATAGCTGTGGTCTTCCTGTTTTCTTTGCACCGGGTTAAGAAACAAACCAACCCTCCTCTTTGTTTTCACTCTGGCTACAGAATAAGAGCTGGCATTTTCTATAGGGCACCTCTGCCCTAGATGAACCATAGTGGAGCACAGGGGTTGGCAACAAGGGGTACATGTAGCCGTGGGGTAACTGGGAAGGCCCCAGGGGGTATGCAGCATTCAGTGCTCCTGCCTCCCCCCGCTCCACTGGCTGCCCAGGGACCACATGCAGAAGGGGGTACGCGCCAGGAGGGGTACACTCAAGAACGGTTGAAAATCCTCGCTATAGCACAACCAACCTTCCACGAGCCGAAGCTCATTGTGTCCTGTGGTTCACCACAGAGAGACCGCTTAGTCCACACATCTATCCTGCCTTCTATTTGACTTCAGAATAACACAACTAACTATGCCTGGTCTCTCCCCCATTTGCAGGCCAGGTTTCCACTTCCATGCCTCCTCTATTTCCACAATTCAAAGGAAGAAACAGCAGCTTCCACTGCTGTGAAGATAAGTGGCAGGACGGAGGAAGGGGGCAGATGATGTGCTATGGTGAACAGCTATGCAAATAACTAGCAAAACTCAGGTTCTGATAAATTTTTGTTAAGAGTTCTGTTCTTTTTCCTTGTGCTTTTTAAGAAAGTCTTGTCTTTGTTCAAAGATTAGTAAAATGGGTCCCTCATGGTGTGGGGAAAGGGACTCGCCGATTGCTACAGTAAACACACTCAAGGATCTAGCAGCTCTGCTTAATAGCACCCAGTTAGGGGCTGAGGCTAATTTTATAGAAGGGCACTCTAGAGAGAGAGACTACTAACTCTTCTTAAAAATAGAGAAGACTGGGCTTTAATTTCATCTGTGGGGTCTAGAGTGCGAATTGCAGCTCCTGGCTATGGTATGCATTTTATTCATTACGTGGCCAGTACCAAACTACACTGCTCTCCCCACTATCCTGTCCTGTATCCAGAACTTAGCTAGAAAAACCTGCTTTTCTTGCTTTTGGAAACTGGGCCAAAAAGCAGCCACTAGACATATGCACAAGTAGCAAGCATAGCACAGGCAGTAGCCTATTTCTACCCAGTGCAAAAACCTGGTAGATTAATTTTTAAATAAAAAGACAAGTTACTTCCAGGATGCAGAGTTCTGTGCGTTT